GTGAAAGTAGTTTAGACGCAGCTTTTTCAGCAAACCCACTCTTCCTTTTTGTCGAAAAGCCACTCTTCCTCAAAAAATTAGGTTTATGCAGCTTTTCGACCGGGGGGTGAGTTCGCTGAAAAAGCCCTGTCTAAACTGCTTTCAAAAGTGAGATCGAAAGAAGATATGCAAATTCCCACGGAATGTGCATATCCTCTTTCAACACTCTAGCATAGTCTGGATAAGCCCCAAGTGTCAAGGTGCCAATGCCCCCAGCAGGCGACAGACAAGGTCTGACACACTCTGTCACAATTGGGTGCTGAGGTCTTTTGGCAACTGGTTCTCAATTGGAATAATATGTCACAGCTCCACCGACGTATGACAATTTACAGCGCCTGATCACGTGCTCCTTTCCCTTTTATGCAAGGGCTGAGTGCTACTAAACCTAAAGTCTGTGACTGCTTGGAATTACCATCACAGTGCACCAGGGACTGCGGGTCTTGCCCAGCATCACCACACAGTCAGAAAAACTCACTGCTTAGCAAGAGATTAATAATAATTTTAAAAAGCACTTTCATGTGTACTCTGCTCATTCTGTTTCCTTTTTATGGAACAAGCCTTGCAAAGTATTAGGAACATGCATTACATAGCAGTGGGATCAATTGCCCTCACTAGATAATGAGAACAGAACAAGCAGTAGTGAGCAGCTCAGAAAATGTACTTTCAATTGCATAACTGTTCCTGTAGTTTATGAATAGAACCGACTGCTTTGGAAAACTATGGAATTCCCTTCACTTCAGAATAATTATGGAAAGACTATAGAAGAGAAATGTTACAGAGCTCAACTGACATTTTGCCCAAGTTAGGTAGTGCTGTCAGCTTTACCCTTGACTGACTGTGGGCTCAGTTCTGTAAAATGCTGAGCAGAGCTGACCAAAACAATTGACAAAAAAAGAACAAAATTTTCAAGAAAAAACATTAACTTTTTCAGCCAGCTCTAGTAGTGGTGAGCACACAGGAGTGAAAAGTGCAACACAGGTCTGCTCAGTGACTTTCTAGACCAAGCTCTAAGCTATCAGCAGACTTTTTTGTCCCTTACCGGTCAGAGCAGGGAGTTGACCTGACACTGCGTAAACTTTGGGCGTCGGCTTCTGAACTGCTGCTTCTTCCGTCTTCGGCTTTCACATTTGTGATTTCTCCTTTGGTCATTGCCCTCAGGGCCTTCCTGATAAGCATAAATTAAAGAAATAAAATAGGGTGAAAATGTAAAATACACAACACTTGAGCCAATGTTATTCTTGTGAAATTTTTCCTGTTAGAAAAGGGAGCACACATCGGTTCTGATAACACCATGCTGTACTTTTAGTGAACAAGTGTTCTGAGTATTGTTGAGGTCAAAGATGGAACAGGCAAACACAGGTTTACTAAAACTTTCACCTCTTGTCTCTCTGACTCTCATAAATAATCATAGTGCTGTGTATATTACTGTAGCACTCAAAGCATGCTAGGAGCTCTGCCAACACATAAAAAAAACCTGAGCTTCCTTCAAAGAGTTTATGAACTAAAAAAACCAAAAAACAGAAGAGGCAGAAAGGGGTATGATTAAGGCCCTACTCGAATCATGGGATGATTGTCAAATAATTGCAGCTGAGTTGTAGACAAGACATGGAAAAATGTGGAAAAGTAGTAATACACCTTTATTAATTGTGGTAATATGAAAAAGCAAGAGAAGATCTATTTATTTTTTAAAAATTGCTGGAACAATATAAACACCCAACTGTTATATTACGCCTTCTGATTTTGTTGAGATGGTTTGCCGCAACTATAGTACAATCATTAAAAGCCCAGCTGGGATCCTGGGGTATGTCTAGACTGCATCCCTCTGTCGGCAGAGGGATGCAGATTAGGCAGGTCGACATTGCAAATGAGGCAGGGATTTAAATATCCCATGCCTAATTTGCATAAAAATGAGTTTTGTCAACTCAGCACTTTGTCAGCATAAAGCAGCAGTCTAGAGGGGAATTTGTCAAGAAAGAAAGCCTTTTTCGACAGATCCTGTAAACCTCCTTGCAGAGTGTAATGTATCAGTAAACTAGTATTTATTGTTCTTCTCTTTTTAGCCCTCTTAGATAGCTCCTAGATGCATGCTCAGCAAGCCAACAGGCCCAGTGTCTTCAAGGAGAGAAGACATTCCATGATAAAAGGGATCCCAGGCTCTTCTGGAGGGAAGCTACTTAGAGCACAACCTTCTCTAAGCACCAGATGGAGGGAGGCTGGGTTTGGATGGTTGGTTCTGCACCCGTTCTGAGACAGTGCCTTCAGGAACAAGTATAGATGCATGGATGGGTGTAAAGCCACCAAATTGTCTTGGCCACCAAGGTTCCATCAGGATTATCGTTGCCTTCTCCTTCTTTGACCTTCCTGAATACATGGGATGGATAGACATGCATTAGGGGGACTTGACCACTGTACCTGAAAGGCCTTCTCCTGAAGTCATACCCACAGACAGTCAGGACCTGTAGGTATCTCCTGTTTGTTTGGGTTATAAAGTGGTATAACGATGGGAAACTCCTCTGCCAGAAAATGCCCTGGGCCAGAGAAAAATGGAGCTCCTACTTGTGATCCTGGCGGAAATGCTTGGTTAGACTGTCTGCTGAGGTATCCTTTGTTTCCCGGAGGTGTGCTGCCAAGAAAGTAATCTGAGCAGTTCCAAGGCTCGACTGCTTCCATGCAGAGTGGAACAGACTTTTTATCTCCCTGTTTGTTTAAACAAAATACAGTAGAGCCATGTTGTCTGACATGAGTTGGAGATGTGTGCGCTGGAGGAAGGGGAGGAGCCTTTTGAATGCTTCATGCACCGCTGATGTGTAGTTTGGATTCTTGCAGAGTCCAGAATCCCTGAGCAGTATGATCATCCGGATGTGCTGACCAGCCCTGATGGGAGGCATTTGTTATGAATATCTTTGTGAATGGTGATTGGGGTGGGGGAGAGGAGAAGGAGGGACCTCCTCTGCAAACAGTTCCTTTCATTTCCCACCGGGTAAGAGATGTGACAGTGCTTGGAGGAAGTAAAGCTCATTTGTCCAGGGCATCTGTGCTTGGGAGAATGAACTGTTCACAATCATGCCAGGAGGCATGAGTGTTCGAGCCTCATGAAGGATGTAGCATAGGTGCAGGTGGCCATATGACCTAGAAAGATCAGGCAGGGCAGGACTGCCATGTGGGGGCTGAATCAGAGCTGGGTGAAGACGTCCCTCATCATGCAGATTCTGTCCAGTGATAAGAAAGGTAATGTCTTACTTCAGAGGCTGGGCCAGCCAGACTCTGCTCTTAGGTTTGGACGGTAACCAAGAAGACACAGATCGCTTACTGCGAATAAATGCAAGGTTTATTAAATGAGATAAAAAGAAAACAAGAGGAGGCTTACAACATCCCTTTGGCTTGCTGGGGACTCCGACTCAGCAAAGGATGGACTTCCCAAAGGACCTGTAACTGTACAGAGGTGCCTTTCAGACCTGGCCCAGGAGTCTGTCCTTTGCTGAGTCAGAGTCCCCAGCAAGCCAAAAGGATGTTGGAAGCCTCCTCTTATTTTCTTTTTATATCATCTAATAATCCGTGCATTTATTCGCATTACGCTATTTGTGTCTTCTTGGTTACCCTCCGAACCTGAGAGCAGAGTCTGGCTGGCCCAGCCTCTGAAGTGAAACAGGTTTGATCAAAGTTCAGTTCAGATTCATTCTGATACACTCTATAACTTATGCGAGAATTAAGTGGTCTTTTCTAAGGAGAGGACTACTATGTGGCCAACTAATAGTGCTGCCCCATGAGCAGTGAATTGTTGGTGTACAGAAATATTGGGCTGGCTGGACAATGCCGATATGCCACTATGAAGCCAAACAGAAGAACTCTGCACTGAAAATGATCTCGGTGCACCATAAAGTGTGGAACTTTCTTGTGAACTGGACGAACGTCTGTATGAAAATATGCATCCTTCCGACCAAGGACTGCAAGTCATTTTTTTTCTGTTATGAACGGGATTATTGAGGCTGAAGTCCTCAACCTGAATTTTGCACAGTGTATAAAGACCTTGGCTTGTCTGAGGTCCAGGATTGATCTCCAGACCCCTATATCCTTTTGGGTACAAGGAAATGTCTTGAGTAATAACCCTTGTCCCTGTGCTGAGAAGGCTCTACTGCCCCGAGCTGAATTATAGGGTTCACCTCCTCTTTGAGACACTTCTTCTGAAGAATGATGGGGATGGGTGGTTTTGGAGATCAAGATTTTGTCTAGGACCTATTTGTCCAACATGACATGGTGTCATATTGGGAGGAAATGGGCCAGGCAGCCACCAAAGGGTGTGGGAATAAGTGGTGGTGGTACAGAGACTGGCTTGACGGCTTTCAAGCATCCCACCAAAATATCTTTTTGACAGGAGAATGGGATTAAAGAGAGGAAGCTAGTGGTGCATTCTGACTGCTGTGTTGTACATGTGCCACTTCCTCAGGAGCTCAAAGGCTCTTTGATGATAGCAGGGCAGAGAGCAGTGTTCCCTGTAAGCTGAGAGCTTGGGTGGCCACCCAGGAGAGATTTGGGTGTTGTTTAGCTGATTGGCAGAGCTGGCAGCATGTGTTTATACTGGTGATGCACATCTGCACATGCCTCGGTGCACATAAAATTTATTCTGCAAATGGGATGGGACCCTTTGCTTTGTGATATTCTAGCTGGTAGAACGAACCAGTAAGTGGTGTACTGCTGGCGTTGGAGCCCCTACACCATGGCTGGTACTCGGAACCAGCAAACACCAGACCATCATTGCACAGATGTCCCTGAGCACTACTGGGTCTGAAAGAATCAATGACTCCGGACTGCGAAGTCCTTGAGAATGGAATATGTGGGTGTAACAGGTGAAGAGTATGAGGGTCTCTGGGCTCTAAGCGGATCCCTCAGTGCAGTTTTGTGCAAGGTAGTCTTCAGTGGCTTGGTGCAGAAAGTGAATGACCTCTTCTCTGTAGGTGGTGAAGGGATCAGTCACATGCTTTTTATCAATGATTTCAGAGCACTCATAGTTCTCAGTACCATCAATGCCAACACATCATTCCTGTGAGTTCCAGACACACACACACATGGGTGGGAAATCCCACTTGGTAACGAGGCTAGCGGAAAAGCAGTTCTGCTCTTAGAGGACTAGTGAGGCAATTTATCCCTCTTCTTATGGGAATGGTACAGACTAGAGGGGTTCAAAGAAGGATGAGGAGAATGATTAGAGGAGCTGGAAAAATGCTCATGTGGCTGAAATGATTGAGATTCGTTATCATAGAAAGGAGATAAATAAAAGGTGGTATTACAAAAATATGCAAAACAACAAAGATGGCTGAGAAAAAGTAGATCAGGAGCTTCTATTCTTCCTCTCTCCTAACACAAGAACAAGGGGACACTCAAATTAAAAGTAAGCAAATTTACAATTGATCAAATAAAATACTTTGGCTGTAGAAGCAAAGAATTCATCAAAATTCAAAAAGCTATTGAATATTTACATGTATAACAAGACTGTCCAGTGTTCTGAAGAAGAATGATACAATTTTGGAGGGTCACTAAACCTTGTGTCTGGGGATTCAGCCAAACTTTAACTCTTAGACACCAGGGTAAGATGTAACAAGAGGGACAGATTACTCCAAATTGCCTAGTGAGAGCTTCGTACACTTTCCTCTTGAGTACCTGCATTGGGCCAAGGTCAGTGACAGGATACCAGATTCGTTGCAGTTTGAGTCTGATCCAATGTGACAATTCCCATGTTTTCCTACCTTCTGATTTGTCACTTGAAATACTGAACTTTTTATCCATAACAGATTTTCCCTTTCGGGTGTGAATTGCAATCAAAAAGGGAAGAAAAGAAGCAGGCATAAATCAATTTGCTAATTATTTATTTACTGTGCTATAAACTATTCACAGCAAAGATGGTAAATGTTCCACTGCAGTAAGGAGGCAAACTTTCAGTATACCTTCACCATGACTATTATCTGCATAATTAATCCATAATTAAATGCAGTTTTTAGTGCAGCCAGTTCCTTAAGTTGTACCCTCTTTATCTGCACAAAGGTACTCAGAAGCAGTAGCTTCTTGTTTTATGCAATGTTAATGAGGCAAAATCAAGTAACGTTTCTGATCGTCAGAAGTCCAGTTCATGTCTCTATTCCCTTGACCATCACAGCCCTCATAATTTACATATACTATATGCTGTAGGTGCATCTGGATAGCAACTCAATCAGTAATTACCAAACTCTTAAAAACGTGCTTTTCCAATGAAAAGTGACTACAGGATCTATATTACAAAGTTTGCTCAATTTATGCCCCAGTAATAACTATGTAACTCCATAACACATATATTGTTTGCTCTCTGCAAACAGTGCTATTGAGGGGATATCCTAAGGATAATGGGTTGCATAGATATCACTGAGGCCATAACATTCCAAACAATATCTTTATTTATTGATGAGGATTCATTAAAAGGAAAACACAGCTCTCAGACCCCAAGGTGAGTTTATCAAGCTGGAGGTTAGGGGCAAAACAGCATTTCACTTGTAAAGTGAGCTAATTTTATGTGAAAGCCACTGAGAGGAAATAAACATGGATCTTCAGGGTGCCATTTTTACAGCCATACCTTCAGAATACAAGCACACTTATAGACTATTTAAAGTGTAACCTCTTACCAGGAGGAAAAATCCAATAGTTGCCACTGCCTTTTGCTGCTACCTTGTAGCAAAAGGTAATTATAGCTGCATTTCCTAGGAGACTGCAGTCTAATTATAGCAATTGTTTCAAAGTAGAATGTATCTAACCCTGGGAGATCTTGGTCTGATGTGGAATATTGGAGAGAGGCTGGAGAGACTCAAAAGAAAATCTGATCAGAAGTTATGTACTTGAATTATTCGTTTCCAAAGGTCAAGGCTTTACCCTATCTTCCGGGGTCCACTGAACATTGATTTCTGCCCACTTGTGGAGGAAGCTGGTGTATCTGGCCTTTGTTCTACTTTCTCCTGAGCGTCATCTTTAGCTTGTCCTCCTTCTGTCTTAACAGGAACAGTATCTGGAGAAGAAAAAACATTAAAATAAATAAAAGCAACATATGCGAAGTGTGCATCTGATATACTAGAAAGTCTGTTTTTAACTAATAAAAAAATCTTGTTAAGACTATCACTAAGCCATTTTTGCATAGCTCCCATTCCTTTTTTAAAAGGGAAAGCATCACATAAATAACCAATTTTAATGTAGTTATTTTACAAATTTGGTGCAGGTGGACTGTTGTTGTTGAAAAACAAACCAAGCAAATAAACAACAACATTTCCATTGGATTATGCCCCCAACTTTGGTTCTGATAAATTAATAAATTAAATAAATTTAGTGATGGGAGAACATAAAAAAAACCCACTTTGCAGTTGATGGCTCGTTCACTGCTAAGTGAGAGAGAACACATTCTCTGCATTAAAAATATTTTCAACAGGGAGGAAAATGTTGACACAAATACTTTGGACATTACTTTTTCTTCTCATTATACAGCTAACAAAAATATAAATATACAAGTATAGCAATAAAAAAAAATATATACATCTTGAAATGTTGCATGAAACAAATAGAAAACCAAGATGCAAGTTATATGCCAATAGATAACTCCTAAGGTGGCACACACACCAGACAGGTCAGTATTTTCCCAAATAAAATATCAGAATTCATAATAATTATTTTTTAAATGGCAGTCAGCCCTCCTGCTTCCTAAATGCATTGTAACTTAACTGCTGAATATGATAAATACTACATGGTAACACAGATTGTACTCAGATGGTGGCACCTGGATCAAGTGTTAAAATAGTTCAGATGAGAGACGGGATCCTTGTATTCAGAAATAAGTCTTAATCTTTAACCTTGTGAAGCTGTAGTGAAGGTGAGACGTGCAAGCAGTTCTGAGACATGTCTTATGCTCTGTCCCCTGTAGGATCAGTGAAACAGACCACGTTATTCATGCCTCAACATGTTTGTGCATATGCAGCGGGTAGACAGGAGATGGGAAAAATCAAGATGTTGCCTCAGAATGAAGAGGTAGCCATAAGCTGGTATACAGCCAGTCATCTCGTACTTAGTGAGTCTTCCCCCAGGAAAAATAAGAAGAAAGTCTAGTACAGTACAGAGAATTACAATTTAGAATTACAGTTTAGAGCAGCATTATTCACGCTAGAATCTCTGGATGTAAGGACTGAGAAAATGAAATCTGAGAGATTTTTCACTACTCAATAATTTGTCTAGGTTTATTTAGGTCAAGAGCTTGGGATCGTGTAAGCTCCTCAGGGTGTTCTTTTCATTGTTCTGAATAAAGTATCTAGTATTGTTCAGACCTTAATTGAAAAATTAAAAAGATCACTAATGCATAATTAGTATTTAAGTTCAGTGATAATGCTCATAAGTTCAGAGAATACTTTAGGAATACTTTACTAGAAGCCAAAGAAGCCTCAAACCCAGCATCAAGAAGGTCACATTGATTTTAAAAAGCAATTGGGTTTAGAAGGGAAGGGACAAATAAAGACAAATGGAAAGTTGCTAGTAATGAATATGAACTATACAAAAGGGAAGCAAAGGGACAAAGGGAGAAATCTATGGCCAACAGAATTAGGGACAATAAGGAGATTTTAAAGTATAGTAGGAACACAAAGAAACCTAAAAATGGTATCATTCCATTCAGATGAAAATGGTAGAATTATCAATAATAATAAACAAAGGAAAAAACTCTTCAATAAGTATTTCTGTTGTGCACCTGAGGAGGAAAGATTAGGTAATCATGTCATAGGATAACACTCTAACTTTCTCTTGAAATACTAGAGAAATGAAGAAATAGAAGCTACTAATGTTAGACATTTTAAAATCAGCCTATCAAGATAATTTGCACTCAAAAGTTTTAAAAGAGCTGGTTGAGGGGTTCGGTAGACTGTCAATATTGATTTTCAATAACACTTGGAACACCAGGGAAGTTCCAGAAGAAAGCTATTGACCTGCCAATGTTTTAACAAGGTAAACAGGATGATCCAGGTAATTCCAGGCTTGTCAGTCTGATATTGATTCCCAGCAATATAATGAGGCAGCTGACATGGGACTCAATTTATAAAAAAAATAAAGGAGGGTAATATAATTAGTGCCTATCATCAGCATGGATTTATGGAAAGTAGATCCCATCAAACTAACTTGATACACTTTTTTGCTTTGGAGATTAATAAAAGTTAAATTGATAAAGGTAAAGTGTTGATGTAATAGACTTGGAGCTCCATGAGGCAGATGATCTGGCACCACACAACATTTTATTTTAAAAGCTAGAATGACATAACATTAAAAGGGCACACACTGAATGGATGAAAAACTGATGGGTCTCAGAATGTAATTGTAAATGGTGAAATTATCATCAAATGAGTATATCTCCAGTGGGGACCTGCAAAGGATTGTTCTTGGCCCTTATGCTATTCAGCACTTCTAGTAATGACCTAGAAGAAAAACATGCAATCATCAATGATAAAGTTTGTAGAGCAAGTAGTAATTAAATGAACGGGAGCGGTCACATAGATATCTAGATTTATGGTAAAGTGGGTGCAAGCAAACAATGTGTGTGTGTTTGGCACTGGTGAAAATTAACCATTAGACAACTTTTAAATCTAGACTGAATGTTTTACTAACAGATATACTCCAGGAATTATTTGGGGGCATTTCTGTGGCCTATGCTGTACAGGTCGAACCTCTCTGGTCCACCACCTTCTGGTCCAGCAACATCTGTGGTCCGGCATGAGTTTAGTTGGCCAGATGTCCACTTATAATTATAATGGGTGTGGCCAAGTTTCCTGCAGTCCCATAAAGTTTGTTTACAGCCACAAGCCCTGGCTCTCAGTATTTTGTGCTGTTATTTAGCTCTAATTTACCCTTAAATGTCTTCTAGGAGCCCAGTAAGCAGTGGAAGTGTTGGTAAAGCTGCTAGACAATATTGATTTCCTATGGTTCAGCAAATTCTCTGGTTCTGTGCCAAACTAGAGAGGTTCAACCTGTACAAGAGGTCTGACTAGATGACCTTAAAATCTATGATTCTTCTAAAAAGTATTGACATGGGCTATTAATTCTAAAATATGAAGGATAAAGCACTTAGCCAAACATTTTGATAAGTAGGTTTAAAACATAGATCTACGCAGATAACTTTTCTTGTGTGTTCTTATTTTTTACCTGGAACTTTGCGTAGGATGGACTGTCTGACAACATCAGTTCCAAGGAGGTTGGATTGTTTGAAGCGCTTTGCTCTTTCTTCAAAAAACCATTCACCTGTCACTATTCTTAGCTGTCTACATGAGAAAGAAAGAAAAAACAAAATGCACACATGAACTCATCCAACCAGCCAAAACTGTTTCGTAAATCCTCAGGATGTTGTCCACCCAATATACACATATACAGCTGTGGATTACAGTTGTACAATACAAGCTAAAGAAACATGTTAGCTCAACAAATGTAATATAAGAGTGAATATATCTAGTAGAAACATCATGAACACTCCCATTCCCCAAGTGAAAAGTGGCTTTTTGGTTAAATGGAAGCTTGCACAAAAATTCATTTGGATCAACATTTTCAGGGGTTCAGGAAAAAACAGACATCAAAAAATTTGCGATCATAAACAGAAGTTAGAAGTTCTTGGGTTTTTATTTAAAGTACAACAAATATTTTCAGTTTTTAGTTTTCTATGTCATCCCTCAACAAATGTCTATTAAAAGATAGGATGGGGGATAGAGAGGAGGCAAGGAAGGCATGGTGAAGAGGCAAGTTGAGGCAAAAAGGAGTAGGAGACAAAGACAAGCTCAGGGCCAAGGAGCAGAAGGTTCTACCAGGGAAACCCCCACCAGACCAACCCCCACCAGACCCTGTTGTCTGCAGAACCTCTGCTTTGTTTTTGCAGAAAAGTTGGAAGGTTTGTAGCGCCTGAGGCAAGGAACTGCAGGAAGAGAAAGGAGGATTTTATGATTAAGGGAGATGAATGTTGCTCTGGGAAATTGGTATCTATTGCTGCCTCTGCACAGAGTTCCTGTGTGATGCTGGGCAAATCACTTACAGTACATCCAAATTTTTCATGGGTGTTCCACTGTTTCAGCCAGCTTAGGAGTAATGGCTACTGTCACTCAGCCAAGGCATTCAAGGGAATGTGGCCAGGCCTCAGGACACTAAACTCCATTTTGGTATCTGTATTTTTCCACAAACTGAATGCAACTTAGCTTCAAGCAAAGAGTTTCCATGATATGAAAAAGCTAAATAAGGTGGGGAGTGACATCTCAGGGCACAAGAGAACTCCTGGGAAAAACATGAGAAACAAAAATTGAATTGAGTAACGGGATTTCTAGCCTGCGTATGAAAATTTGGTGGACCGTATCATCAGTAAGGGTGAGAAATTGCCAATACAAAACCTATGTAAATTGTATAAAATTTAGTTTGTGGTTTTTTATTTGCTTGCTGGGTAATCTGCTTTGATCTATTTACTATAATTTATAATCACTTAAAATCTATCTTTCTCGAGTTAATAAATCTATTTTATAATTTTATCTAAAACACTGTGTATTGTCTGAAATATGAAAGAAAAGCTCTCAGCTCTGTGAACAACAGCTGTTGCATATCTTTCCCACATTGAGGGGAAAATGAATATATTAATGAGCATATATTGTACAGATTTCTGAGCACTGCAAAATGGTATAATTCTAGGCTTAAACTCCAGCAAGGGGGAAAGGCTGGGGAGCGAGCTGGGTAACTGACTGTTTCATTGTGTCTGTCCTTGAGTGGGTGAGGTAAAGCACTCAGGTAGCTCACTTAGATGTGTGATTCCACCTGCTCTCGTGTCAGGCAATAACAAGGCCTGGACAGACTGACAATCACCAGAAAAGCAGTGTGAGAGAGACCTGCTCACTTGGGGGATTAGAGAGCACAACTTTTTTCACAGCTCCCAGACTGTAACCTGAAGGTGACAACCTGTCACACCAGAAAGTTCTCAGACTCTGTCTATTGAGTGGCAACTTAATTTGATTTATATTCCTGTCACTAACACTATCCCATGAAGCAATATTATCTACAGTGCTTCTTTCTCTACCTCCATCCCTTTCCTGCAGGACTGGGAGGAACAGAAGTCTCCTTCCTTGAGATCTCTGCATACTCTGGGCTCCACTGGACTTGGTTACCCGTGTGTTCCCTAATACTTTCTTCCTGTGTCCTTTTTATACCGATCTGCTGATTGGCTAATTGGCTAAGCCAACCTCCCATTCTAACCAGCCAGTTACCTTTCACATCCCCAGTCAGCCTTCTCCGGGGGAGCTGATTGATGCCTAAGTGATCAGAGTGCTGCTCACCAGCTAGCTCCCAGCACTCTGTCATAGGTATAAAACTACAAAGCAGCTCTACACTTCTATGGCTCAGATAGCAACACCAAGTGACCAAGAAAAATCTATGCACTAAAAGGACAATTTTCCCTCTCCTGGACAAGAATTATTCCCACATATAAACATTAAAATACATTTTAAAAATCCTACTTTAACATCCTCCAAGTTAATTTATGTTGGCTACATTTCCAGTATTCTTGGCTTATAGCTTGTGAAGAGTATCACTTCCTACATCCCTTGGCTGGCAGAACGACTTAGCTGTTTTTTCTCAGGCTCTTATAAGACTATATCTTGACAAATCAAGAAATATGGAAATACAGTCAATATTGGTTGACAAAATCCTTGGTACTCCGAATTGTTTACACATTTACCCCAATAAACTTTTAAATTTTTTAATAAAAGTTAGTGCTACTCATACATGAAACATTAATGTCTGTAAAGCACTCTTCCAGTCTGTTAAGAAACCTCTTTTCAAAACATTTGCAATTGACAGCACCTGGGTCAATTAGTTACAACGCCCAAGTTCACAATAAGTACATTTTGTGATAACTACTGATCTGCAGAATGCTGCTTCTCTGAGGCACCTAGAAGAATTCCCAACCATGAGAGTCTGTTCAGGCAGCAAAGCAGTCCTATGCTGTGCTGTAATAGTCTGTAAGATGTGTTGTTGATGTTAATTGCTAGCTTTACAAATGCAAATGATAGTACATGGTCTTATTATGTGTTGCCACTCTCATTGACACCTCAATGAATACCCTCCAGACATGTTTAGTTGCAGTGTGCAACCAATGTTCAATTTCAAACTAGTTAAGACTAGACTAGATACACTCTTCCCATATTATTCCCCAAAGAAATACTGCATGACCAGGTGCTATAATTTCTGTAAAATCTTGTAACTGTTAAGGGCAGAATTGCATGCTGCATTGAGCTAGGGGACGCTGAGTATTTCCCATGCGTGCTCACTCAGAACACTGATTTAGCTTCATTTGTGTTCATGACCAATTTGTGCTTGATTACCATGATATCCAAGCCAACACATTTATTCGCCTGTTCACAGAAACATCAAATGCACTTGAACTTCCGTACTCCAGTTGTCCCTAATCCAGGAACATCCAAGGTATGAAAGAAGCAATTCTGCGCACTGCTACTCACCCTCCCATGTGGTGGGTAAAAGGCAGAGCGGCAATGTGCTTCCCCAGAAGCTTTTCCTTGCCACTCCCATAGTGGTGCAGAGTGAGGCCCGGGAGTGGCAAGGGGGCCAAGTCATGTGTGTCCTCAGGTAAGCACCCCACCCCCATCTAATTCCCCTCACATCCAGACCCCGCAATGCCCTCCCTGGCCCAGAAAAATATTTAATCCCATCTTGTCCCTTTTCTGAGGGAAGGGAAGGATTTCCCAGGAGCGAATCCATGGCAGTAGATGGCCACTGCATGACAGAATTTGCCTGTTCATTTAAAGAAACAAATTCTGAGTAACTGTTCTTGTTTTTAAATCTTGCACTACTCTATTAGAGCATGATTTTCCCAAAGCTGCATTATTTACAAACATGTGAGCTCAAGAGAATCATATTTAGTTTGCATGTGGATGGATATGATTACAGATAACTCTAGGGCATTGGTCAATTGTCCTTACTCAGACAAGACTCCAACTTAATAGAGATAGAAATGTAGCCGTGTTAGTCTGGTGTAGCTGAAGCAAAATACAGGACTATGTAGCACTTTAAAGACTAACAAGATGGTTTATTAGATGATGAGCTTTCGTGGGCCAGACCCACTTCCTCAGATCAAATAGTGGAAGAAAATAGTCACAACCATATATACCAAAGGATACAATTTAAAAAAATGAACACATATGAAAAGGACAAATCAAATTTCAGAACCGAAAGGGGATGTGGGGTTCGGGGGGAAGGTAGATGTCTATGAACAAATGATATTAGAGGTGATAATTGGGGAAGCTATCTTTGTAATGGGTAAGATAACTAGATTGTTAGATTGTTATCTTACCCATTACAAAGATAGCTTCCCCAATTATCACCTCTAATATCATTTGTTCATAGACATCTACCTTCCCCCCGAACCCCACATCCCCTTTCGGTTCTGAAATTTGATTTGTCCTTTTCATATGTGTTCATTTTTTTAAATTGTATCCTTTGGCATATATGGTTGTGACTATTTTCTTCCACTATTTGATCTGAGGAAGTGGGTCTGGCCCACGAAAGCTCATCATCTAATAAACCATCTTGTTAGTCTTTAAAGTGCTACATAGTCCTGTATTTTGCTTCAACTTAATAGAGAAGTTTTTTTTCCTCTGGGTAAAGTGTGAGAAGTACTGAATAGGGGTCTATTGTCAAAGAAGAATTCACACTAATACAATTCTCTCACATCCACTTATAGATTAATTTTATTTGAGCATTACCAGTATAAGTTAAAAAAAAAATCAAAATACAGACACATGCCTGCAAATGAGATAATGAAACATTAGTGCCTTATCTCTTTCTTTGCAGCCTATTGATGACAATGCAACAAAAATAAATAGAAATCAGTCATTGTCCGAAAGGCATAGAGAAAATCATTTCCACTCAATTATTTTGTTTTGTTTTTAACTCAACACAGTTTAGAAAATAAACTGATTCTTCACTGGAACTTCTGATTAGCAGGAACAACAATTTTTCCTGGGTGTGATAATGAATATGTATTATCACTACTCACCAAGATTTAATGTAAGTTTAGTATTTTACATGCGTCTCGTAACATTCTGTCTTGCCTTTGACCCATTCCAAATTGAGCTATAAAGTTCATTAACTCTTTCCAAGGTTACTCCCGAATCTGACATTGAAACCCCAAGCTGCTGTTTCTTTCTTACTAGAATATCTTATTTTCCCAAGTCTTCTATCACCAAAATTTCCTTTAATGTAAGAAAGTAGGTGCATTCCT